AGCTTGCAAGATGGGGGCAGCATTGGGAGCCAATCAGGTGTGCTGTATTCAAATGTGTCAACATTTGCTGATAAGTGGAGAGCAGAACGAGCAGAGGGATGACCTCTTCAGTCTATGGCTGCTCTTTCACTGTCCACAGCTCAAGATGGAGACGGGACACCACTGTATCCCTTCTATTGTCTCAAATTATAACAAAGAAAGCGTTGTCACCTATTTGATTGTATTTTGATGAACAGAAATTCAAAACCTGTGGCAGGAAAAACAGTTTCCATATTAGTTGATTGTACGCCCCTTGAGGGTTAGGGACTGATGAGAATGTACAATATACTGTATATGCGCTTCGTAAACTGACGGCGCTGTATAAGTACCTGAAATAAATAATTAGTAATTATCTGTATATTTAGCTATTTGCCTGGAGTTCGGCTATATGTTGTCTATGCTCAGCTAACTCTACAGATTCTCTCACCACATCTGGGATACAGAGGATACAGACTGGGGGTGATTGTGAGAAGCAGACCCTTCCATAAGGCATTCACGTAAAAGCAGTGCACTGTAATGGCTTACCTCTGTACCTATAGCACATAAGCAGGTAAGAACCTGCAGTACATTTGCTAACATGCCTCCAATGTATATATTGGCCTAGAGTGAATTTTTTTTTTTTTAACAAAACTGGCATTTTTGAGCATCTTGAATCTGGATGCTAACACCATGTTTTATGTCAGAAGATGGAAAGGGCATTGATTAGCATCTGTGTTTGCTCATGTTGTAAATGCTTTCTCTCACTACCTACTAGACAGGCCTGGTGCCAGGCAAACACAGCCAGGACAATAGTCTGTGTGATGCATTTACTTTGCTTAATGGTTCTAATTAGAGCCCTCATTTGCAGCGTTTGAAAGTCAATGCAGGAAATAATAGAAGTGCTGATATCAGTGAAGCGGCAAAATAGTTAAAAAGTGTCTGTTAAATAGTTTCTTCCCTGTTCTATGGCAGGAGAGAAGAACACTTTGAACATAATCGAGCAAGTCGCTGGAATTCTAATTGAATCTACCATCTTCTTACCTGTTTTTTTTTACTTTTTAGATGAATATGGGCACAGCCAGCTTATTGGGGTGATAGACAAAATTCATAGGCCAAGCTGCACAATTTGGTAAAATTTTGTGTAAAAGCCATCAAGAAGTTCTTTAAGGATTTCAATAGAACCAGCAAGCACTCTCAGACCCCATACACCCTGGAATAAAAATTGAGCTTGTGGTCAGTGGAGCACTAGGAATCTTTGGCCTCGGTGGCAAACACAAGCAATCAGCCTTTTCATAGTAGGGACAGATTTCTGTTGACATTGGGCCAAGTGTGCCGTGGTGTGCCATTGATTGGTGGGTATGGTGAAAGGTGGATGTTCCTAAGGCACATGGTTTATTTTTACACAGCTTTTCTCATGTACTCATATGCACTCACTGGCCACTTTATTAGGTACACCTGTTGAATTGCTTTTTAATACAAATGCTAATCAGCCAATCACATGGCAGCAACTCAATGCATTTAGGCATCTAGACTTGGTGAAGAGGACTTTCTGAAGAGCATCCGAATGGGGAAGAAAGGGGATTTAAGTGACTCTGAACGTGGCATAGTTGTTGGTGCCAGACGGGCTGGTTTGAGTATTTCAAAAACATTTCACGCACAACCATCTCTAGCGTTTACATAGAATGGTCCAAAAAAGAGAAAATATCCAGTGAGCGGCAGTTGTGTGGACGAAAATGCCTTGTTGATGTCAGAGGAGAATGGGCAGCCTGGTTGCTGCGACATTCAGATGGTAGAGTCAGAATTTGGTGTAAACAACATGAAAGCATGGATCCATCCTGCCTTGTATCAATGGTTCAGGCTGCTGGTGGTGGTGTCATGGTGTGGGGGATATTTTCTTGGCACTAGTAAGGTGTACCTAATAAAGTGTCCAGTGAGGTAAGCTTCCTTAGTGGCCCTGCAGATTTGGACACATGACATCTCAGAGCCATAAAGGAACTCAGTGCTTTAAAACTTCCCTGTTTTAGGTGTTGTGGTTGCAGGTCTGAACGAGTAGCCAATATAATGCCCAGCATGTGACACTGACTGCAGGTCCTGCTCTGAACAATGTCTGAATGGTGAAGTATCTCCATCCAGGGACCAGAAGCCCAACATATCCCATTACTTCTGACCAAAAACTTCACATGCACCAGAAACTATATGATTGTGTCATCTCTGAACAGGCTTCTCAGTCCAGGAAGTTGAGATGACCCTGGATGATGGCCGGACAAAGATGGCATCATCCTCCTGGAAAGAAAAGCAGATGAAACCATTGTCAAGGTTAGTACTGTGCATACATGCACCCAGGGGCGGACTGACAACTCATGGGGCCCCCGGGCAATAGGGGATCATGTGGCCCCTGTGGTGTCCTTGCCCAAACTCAAAAAAGCCTATGAAAAAGGTACCAGGGGCATCTCATGGGGCCCCCTACTGACCCCAGGCCCTCGGGCAGTGCCCGAGTTTCCAAATGGTCAGTCAGTCTGCCCCTGCATGCACCTTTACATGGATCTGAACTCAAAATATGAATATTTGCTGTTAAAAAGGAACATGTAGAAATGTTAACTATACCTAATTAATACCCTGAAAAATGTATCTTTGGTCTTGAGTTCCTTCTAAAAAATAGCAGTTCACTTGGAATACGAGTCTGCCTAGTCACTCCTGTGTCTACCGAGTCATAGCTGTATATCTGCAGTGTGAGACCTAAGACACTGCTGCATCTGACTGCTAGTCTCATTAGATTTGAAGTGTTATTTAGTAATGTCACTGTTGTGCTGCTCACTGTTCTCCTTGTTGGAGGCTCTGATATGAGGAAGCAAAGCCCTGCTTCTACTAAGGTGGCCACCTTCAACCAGAGATACAGTGCAGAACAAAGTATAGTAAGTCAGTAATGGGGAAAAGATCAGCTGCAGGTAGACCTTGGCTTCTGGTTGGATGTGTCTTTAGAGGATGTCTGGGATTTGGAACATCGGTGTATGATGTGGGTCTGCACACAGTCGACCCATAGGTGGCCGAACAAGTGGTTACATTCTCATAATATGCTGGTAATAGCCACTGGGTCCTGAATAACATGGTACAAAGAATAAATCAGTTGCTGGTGGTGATTAGCTGTAAAGAGGTCTGCTTTCCTGATGGTGAGAAGAGAACCTCTTGACAGCAGCACACATCAGGTGACATTGGCCCCCATGTCAAATGGCTTTAGTGTATGACCAGAGTCTCTGAGCCCTAGCTTGGAGGGTGGGAGATAAGGAGTCAGTTTGTTGAGTGCTCTAGAGATCAGAGAACTAAATGCAGGTTTGCCACATACTGGGGACCCCTCGTGGGCTTCCTTCCTATGGGCAGTCTGATGAGTTGCACAGACCCTGTCCAGATGGGAACAGCAGCCTTAGTACTAAGCCAGAAGATTTTAGTTCATGGACTAAGATAGGAAGGTTGAAGCTTTTGCAATGTGCATTTTGTACCAAGCCATCATTTGAAGTTGTAATATTTTCATAACTGATTATAAGGAAGAACTTGACTTTTGGTTGAACGTGTTATTTATAGAGGATGCCTGGGTTTTGAAGTGTTAGTGTATGAAGTGGGTTTGGACACAGTTGGGCTATAGATGACCAAAGAAGGGGTTACATTCTTAAATTGTTCTGGACTGGTAATATCCACAGGGCCCCAAATAACATGCAAAATATGAAAAATATAGACCTGACTGGGTCGGGAGCTAGTGGTGACTAGCTGGAAAGAGGTCACCTTCCTGAAGGTGAGAAGAGGACGTCTTAACAGTAACAAATGTCAGATGACCTCAGGTGTTCAGTCAGCCCTTCTGAGCTCCAGACTGGAACCATTTGAAAATGCAAGGCTTTGTGAGTAGGTAGTTCCTGACCAATGAGAAGGATTGGTGCTGCGGTGGGCCAGGAGGATGCCACTCTGGGCTCCTAAACCCGCCATTTGTACATGACGGAGCAGGCAACTGAGCTCTGGGTTTGGCACCTGGGTCAGGAACTGGCTTAACAACCCAGGTTACTCATAGCTATAGCAGGCTAGCAAGAGTTTAGTTTCTCTTTAGCAAGAAAAAAATATCTGATTGTAGGTCCACTTTAATAGAACCAAATTTCTTCACTAAACAGCTTTGACATTGGGAAAGGCCAATTGTGTGTGCATCAATCAGAATTATTGATGCCATCATTTGATAGTTGAAGCTCCCTCGGCACATAGCGCGCTCTAATACTAGATTTGTGGCCGTTGAACAGATACAGGAAGAGTACATTCAATAGCCCTCTAATACACTTTGGACCATTCTAAGGCCTTAAATATGATCTGTGATACCCTGGAGAGCCTTTTAAGCGGATGTGAGTCTCCACTGAATGGACCTGAAAGAGGCATTTAATCAGAGCTGCTTGGCCACATTAATTGCCTTTTTTTTTTTTTTTTTCATTTTTCTGTATGGGGTTATTAATCTTCTGTTACATACAGTATGTACATTGCAGGAATGGCAGGGATTCTGCATGTTCTGTACATTTAATGGCATTGCCACTGGGCTAGAAATGAGAGCTTGTGGAAAGGACTCGGTTACAGCGTACAATTAGAGATGTCAGCCCGCGCTAGTCACAATGAAATGGTTAATGTCGCGTGGGGGACAATGAGGGCAGCCCAGGCTGGTTGCTGGGATACAAATAGGAAATGGAGCTGCTGAAAAGGGTTAGTAGGATTTCATACAGGAGACTGTCGTACTGAGATCTTCGAGTGACACTCCACGTTTGTTGAGAAAAAGAACAAAACAGAGAGGAAAAATAGAAAACAAAGTGTTTTAGCAAATCTAATAGCAGGTTCTCGCCTGCCTCTGTTCCGTATATACCGAGCCATTTTGCTAACTTTCTCAAAATAAGGAAGAGCTCCAGGACATCGCGGTGCCAGAGAGAAGGTGAGTATAGTCCCACTTTCAGGTAGGCTCAGACACAGGGGTGGACTGACCATTTGGAAACTCGGGCATTGGCCAAGGGCCCAGGGTCAGTAGGGGGCCCCATGAAATGCCCCTGGTACCTTTTATAGGCTTTTTTGGGTGTGCTTTGAGTGTGGTGGGGACACAGGGGCCTCATGATCCCCTATTGCCCGGGGGCCTCATGATTTGTCAGTCCTCCCCAAATTATTAGCTCTCTGTCTATATTCTGTGTGCAGAAAAGCATAGGTACAGTAATAGGAGAGCTGAATTTTATAAGTGTCAATTTGTTCTGAGAATGGTGTGTCTGTGAACTGTCACTTGCGGAAAACGAATTTAGGAGTGTTATGTAAGTACAAGGACTTTGGCATTTACTGGCATCCTATAATATGAGTAGGGTCAGACTCTATTTAAATCCTCCAGAGGATTCCCCCCCCCCCCCCCTCCTAACCAGGCCATTTTTTGCGTTACGACGCTGCGTTACTTTAACTGACAATTGCGCGGTCATACAACGCTTCACCCCAATGAAATTTACATCCTTTTTTCTCACAAATTGAGCTTTCTTTCAGGGGTATTTGATCGCCTGTGTGTTTTTTTTATTTTCTGCGTTATATAAAAAAAATTACAATTTTGAGAGAAAAAAATATTTTTGACTTTTTGCTATTATGCAGGCCATAGACGGGTCGAAAATCGGGCAATTAATCGGCCAAAAAAAAAAACCGGCTGATTTTCGCACCGTTAGTGGGTTAATTGGTCGGCCGTTTTTCAGGGTTTTGGCACATGTTTTTTATCGGTAAAGTTGGAAAAAAATCGGCCAAATTTTCCAATCGGCCGATTTTTCCGGCAATGATGGGCAAATCGGCCGATCGTTTTACCGATAAAAAATCTGCGCATGAGCCGTGACCTGCAAGAAAAAGAAAAACAAGAAGAAAAAGAAGAAGGAAGAAGAAGAATTCCAGACCGCTATTATATTTGACACGAAAAGTATTGCGGTTGCAACAATGTATCTATTTGTATCCAAATAAAACTATCTGTATCCGAAATGGATACAAATGGATACATTGTTGCAACCGCAATACTTTTTCATGTCAAATATAATACCGGAGCTCTCTGCAAGGGACAGAAGTAATTAAATACCGGCCATAGACGGGCCGAAAATCGGCCGATTTTTTTTTTTTAAACGTCCGGTTTTCGACCTGTCTATGGCCTGCATTAAACATGTCCAATAAAAAAATAAAAAAAAAATCTAATTTTGTCATAAATTTAGCTCAAAATGTATTCTGCTCCATGTCTTTGCTACAAAAAATCCCAATACGTGTAAATAAATTGATTTACATTAATGTTATAGTGACACATATACTGGGATTTTTAATTTTTTTTTTTAATTCTTACTGGTAATGGCAGCATCATTGACTTATAGTGGGACTGCGGTAGACATTCTGACACTGGGGGTAACTGACTTAGTGTCACTGGCATCCCCAGTGGCACCAATACAGTGATCAATGCTAAAAAAAAAAGCACTGACACTGTACTAATGGCACTGGGCAGGAAGGGGTTAACATGAGGGGCGATCAAAGGGTTAACTGTGTGCTGGGAGTGTTTTACTATGGAGCGGTGTCAGTATGCTTCAATGTAAGTACAGCCATCCAAAACAGTCTGCCCGAACTGCCTGTCGGAGATCATTGGAAATCACCGGGTAATTACCGGCCAGGACCCAGTGATTGACAGCCGTGGCCGCGAATGGCGGTGCGGGTAGGGCGTACGTGCGCCCCCTACCCGGAAAATGTAAAATAGCGTATATACACATGATTTCTGCTATAGAGCGGTGGGGAAGCGGTTAACCACACCACTTTAGGTGACGCCCAATGTTTAGGATGCTTTCACACTGATGCGTTTTTGCTGTGTTTTTACTTTGCTATAAAAGTATTTTCCTCTAAATCCTATGGGACTCTTCACACCACTGCTCTGCGGTGGCGGTGCATTTTTAAAAGCCCTGCAATGCTGCATTTTTGTGCTTTTCAAAACAGCTCCCCATTGAAATGGATGGAAAATGCTTTTCTCTTTCTTTCCTTTTCTTCTTTTGTTTATTTTTTGTTTCTGTCAGTTCTTATGTTATATGCACTGATTGAGATACCCCTAGAGAACTGTGCCTGTAATGTCTTATACTCCGGTTGGACTTTCTTGGGAGTCCTAGGTGTAGAGATCCAATATGCGCCCAGTAAGATTTTATGCTCAGCTTTTTCCTATCATCTGTGCGACTTTGGTGACTATCTTTGGTCTTTGCCCCCCAGCTCATTGGCTACTATTTTTATAGGGTCTCATTCCATCCCCTTTGAGATTGTGTTTTTATACTCCGTTTCTCTTCGTGTCAATATTTCAGTTCATTTGTTATGTCCTTCATCAACAGAACTGTACACCTTACTTTTTTTTGTATCAATGAGCTTGTCTCTGACTGTTTCTATGTTGTGCTGTCTATAATAAAATTCATTGTAAAAGAAATGGATGGAAAACACAAAAAAGGCATAAAAAAATGCACCCCAGTTGTCACATGTCCATGTTTCACAGGTGCATGCTGGGAATCGGGCACCCAGAAAATGCACCGGAAACACATCAAAAACATAAAACATATAAAAAACATATGCATTTTAATATATTTTTTCAACGGCGCAGTGTGAAAGAACCCTTAGTGCACAGACGCCCACTTATCACCCCGCGGTATGGTACGTGCATGCTCCATTTTGTCTTTATTCTCATGTGCCCCTCATTCTTACATTCTAAAACCGGGGGGTATGTATTGTGTGATGTTGATCTTGAACACCATCTGTACTGTGAAGCATGGGGGTGGTAACATCATGCTTTGGGGGTGCTTTTCTACGAAGGGGACAGGACGACTGCACTGTATTAAGGAGAGGATGAATGGGGCCATTTATTGTTAGATTCTGAGCAACAACCTCCTTCCCTCAGTTAGAGCATTGAAGATGGGTCGTGTCTGGGTCTTCCAACATGACAACGACCCGAAGCACACAGCCAGGATAACCAAGGAGTGGCTCCGTAAGAAGCATATCAAGGTTCTGGAGTGGCCTAGCCAGTCTCCAGACCTAAATCCAATAGAACATCTTTGGAGGGAGCTGAAACTCCGTGTTGCTCAGCGACAGCCCCGAAACCTGACAGATCTAGGGAGATCTGTGTGGAGGAGTGGGCCAAAATCCCTGTTGCAGTGCAAACCTGGTCAAGTACTACAGGAAACGTTTGACATCTGTAATTGCAAACAAAGTCTTCTGTACCAAATATTAACACTGATCTCCTCAGGTGTTCAAATACTTCTGTTCAGCAGTGCAAGACAAATACATTCTTTACAAATCATACAATGTGATTTCCTGATTTTTTCTTTTAATTCTGTCTCTCAGAGTGGGAATGCACCTACAATGTGAATGTCAGACCCCTCCATGATTTCTAAGTGGGAGAACTTGCAAAATCGCAGGGTGTTCAAATACTTCTGTTCCTCACTGTAATTGCCACTTACTCTTACTGGGTAATATGTGTTGTGGCTTTGATACAATTTGCTATAATGACTGTGTAATGTGCTATAGAGATGATAGAGTAGTATGGTGGCATGTGGCATGTGGGTGTGGCTTAGCATGTCCATTGGGGACTATAATTGCTAATGCATGCCACACAGGCACGGGAGCCGTGGTCCTGCAAAATCAGCAGTAAGGTAGACTGAGGGGACACCTCAGAGTTTGTGTCCCGCTCTGCCAGCACAGGCCTGATTGCCCCTCACTCCCAATGATGATATGAAAATCCCTATAGTGGGACAGAAGCCCAGACTGTATGTGCTATATTGTAAGAAAATTTGAAAATGAAGCGCCACACCCCTGTTAAGAGGTCCAGATACAACTGTATTCCATTAAAGGTCAGGGGTGTAATTTGAAAAATAGCCAACGCATTTCGAAGGTCCAAGTACCCCCTTCATCAGGGCTTGACTGGCAATAAAGTGAATAGACCAGGAGTGAACTGGACCTACAATGGTATTTGTTCCAGTGTGAATTAAAAGAAAAGGCCCAAGCAGCAACTTGTTTGGCAGAAACCATGCATACTAATGCCTGCCGCACAGGCACGGGTGCCGCGGTCCTGCAAAATCAGTAGTAAGGTAGACTGAGCGGACACCGCAGAGCTTGTGTCCTGCTCCACCAGCACAGCCATGATTGCTCCTTCGCTCCCAATGACAATGTGAGAATCCCTATAGTGGGAGAGAAGCCCAGAGTGTATCTATACCGCCATTTGTAAGTGCTATAACTTTCACGTAAAACAATTAATTTACACGAATTGGGATTTTTTTTTTTAGCAAAGCCATGTCGCAGAATACATTTTGGCATAAATTTATGATGAAATTTGATTTTTAAAATTTTTTTACTGGACATGTTTAATAGCAAAAACTCTGAAATATTGGGGTTTTTTTTTCAAAATTGTCAGGCTTTTTTTTTATAGTGCAAAAAATAAAAAACGCACAGACGGTCAAATACCACCGAAAGAAAGCTCAATTCATGGGAAAAAAGGACATAAATTTCATTTGGGTGCAGCGTTGCATGACCGGTCAATTGTCAGTTAAAGTAACGCAGCGATGTATCACAAAAAATGGCCTGGTCAGGGAGGGGGTAAATCCTCTGGAGGGCAAGTGGTTAATTCCTTCCTTACTCTTGGGTAGCCTGCTAACTCGCAAACACATTACAGACAGATTAACACATATCACCCAAAATTGAGGAAACTTTATTTTGTGCAACAATCCCTTTAAGCACCTGTTTAGAGCATGGCACCATCATAATATGGCAGTAATTCCAGGCCCCACTCCCAGTAATCCACAGATACTATTTGAAATAAAAATGCTGCGCACCGCACTATAAAGTGGACCCTGACAAACCGGTTTATCTGGCTTGTTATAGTTAGAAAAATCAGAGGCATCCTCTCTTCTGGTGTTTACAAATGAAGATTATTCCTGCACATGCAACGGATCCCTGCTGTCTGCAGTAGAGCATTCTAGCATTGCATTTGCTAAAGTAATCACAAGACTCAAGGGGCGGAGCTTGTGTAAAAAGGGTGGCACCTCTTGAGAATGGCCAGGCATAAGGTCCAGGGTCTCATGCGCGAGCAGAAAAAAATACTGTTCTTAAAGGCGTCTGGTGTTTTTCTTTTTTCAGAGAACAAGAACATGAGCAAACGTGGCTAAATGTG